CCAGCTGATGAGGAGGTCCCAGCTCGGAGCCAGGGCTCACAGCCCAACAGCAAAAGCATCTCTTGAGAGTTCGGTGCCCTCAGTGTCTGTCCCTGGGGGCTCTCCCAAGACGTGACACCACACCATGGGGGTCTCTGCTGCTCCGCACAGCAGGGCCAGGGCCCACCATGGGCTGTCTGTGGTAGATGGCATCTCACGAGGAGAGCCAGGAGAGGCAGCTGTCCTGGGGAGCACACGTGTGGACTGCCCGCTTGGGCACAGGTTGTTCCTCAGCAGCCTTGCTGCGGGCTCAGGCATCTCTTTGTGCTGGTGACGGATTTTGTGTCTCTGTTCTTGTGTTTCACACTGATCCCAGGCACCAGACTCGGTGTTTCAGTTCCCGAAGGTGGCTGCAGGAGCGAGGTTTGTGCAGGATGCGGTGCAGAGGCTCCAGGCTCCCGTCTGCACAGCCTGCAGGTGTATGGGCAGTGTGCGCATGGAGGGCAGGTTCTTGGGTCCCTCCAGCTAAGGGACCATGTGTGCAGCTTTGCTTGTCGCTGGTGTCTCCCTGAGCACCCCACCAATTTGCATCCCTGTGATGAGTGGTCTCCGGGCTGCCAAAAATAATGGTGGTCATGATGTGAAGGCGGATGGGGCAGGTGAAGAACTGCCGTGCTGTGGTGTCTCAGTGTCTGCTAAAGGTCCCTGAGATAAAAGGAGACTTGGGATGGCTGGATTCCCAGGTCTGTTTAACCCCAACACAAGTCTGAAGGAGACTCAGCTAGGGAACGAGTCTGTCCATGGGATATGTGAGTTTCCCAGCACTTCCTTTCCTTGAAGTTATTAAGTGAAAGCTCTTCTGGCTTCTGCCATTCATCTGTTTGGAAGAAGGATGCTCAAATGCTGCCTAATCCCAGATCTAACCAGGGACACAGAGTGGATTCCTATTCTACCTTTAGAGGAAAATCCCAACTTTGCCCTTTTTCAGGATCACCAGAAGCAGAGATATTTTGAGGACTTTCCAGATCTTCGCTGTGGTTAACTGTCTTTCCTCTACAGCTTATTTTATTTCTCGTTTCCTTTGAGCTGATGTCACACATTTCCTCTTCTCTAGAAGTGACTCTGCAGTCATGCTGCAGTTGCTCCGATTCTGGTGTCCTCTTCTTGAGAGCTGCCTGCGTGGAGACCTGCCAGCCCCAGGACAGAGAAAATAACACTTGGAAGAAGAGCGAGCATCCTCAGCAGAACACCCATCACTGCTCTACTGGAGCTGAAGATGAACACGTCCAACCGCGGTAAGCAGAAAAGATACTTTATTAGTACTATTCCTCTTGGAGTATACGTTTGCTGATGGCATAGCTTGTGTCTGTGTGGTCTTTGCACCTTGCAGCCATGAGCCAGTAAATCCTTACGGGGAGAGCATGGCCCATGGAAGAGAGCGTAGTCTGGGAGCGGAGCCCGCAGTTGCCCCGTCGTGTTTTGCTGCGCAGCCGTAACTTCCACCCCTAGTTCTGCACACAGTGGAGTCGATGCTATGAACCACTGGATTTACCGGCTGGTGTACTGGTGTACAAGGTGGTGGCCTGGGCTGGAGCTGCTCGGGATGTTGGTAATGCAGCACAGCCTCACACCTGCCAGCCCGCACCCTGACCACTGCGCCTGTTCTCCTTTCTGCTGGCATGGAGAATATTTACGTGTTTTATACAAAAGGGAACCACTTCAACAGGAGAGACTGGGTGAGATCCCCTGTACGGCACGCCAGAGTCTGGGCTTAGGATATCTCACAAGTATAGAGGAGATGTGAGCTCAACTTCCTCAGGCTGAAGAGGGAAGTGGGTATTGAGTAAACTCAGTGGGGAGCGATGCCATGCTCTCTTCTAGCTGCATTTTGTAGAATATCTGGCTTGAGAAGCGAGAGGGGAAAACAACTCTCCTGCGATTCCCTGAAGGACGTTGGCACTGGCCCTGCACTCTGTGCAAAGCCAGAGGAGCTCTGCCAAGGGCTGCTGGGGCCAGGAGACGGCACTGCCATCTACCACAGCCCACCTTCGCCAGAGACTCCTAGTGCTTACCAATGCACAGCACGTCCTTGCCTTCATCTTCCCGGGTCAGAGCGCAGCCTTTAGCTCAAACCCATCTTCTGTGCAGGGCTTTGGAGTGGAGGGCGATGTGCAGGTTCGCTCTGCCTTCCATGCCCTGGGCGGGCTGGACACCCCGCCAGGAAAGTTCAGCAGAGCTCCTGGGCAGTTTGGAGGCTGCCATGCCCACGGCCAGCACCAGAAGTGGAGGGGCAGATGTCTGTGGCGCAGTCTAAAGGGACCGTGTGAATAACAGTTGTGCCTCAGTATTGGATGTGGGCACTTCTCTCCTCCTCACAAATTCTGCTAGTGGAATGCATAATCTTTTTTTTTCCCTACTCTTGGTATATTCAGGTCTACAGTGACAGAGCACCTTTCATTGCAAAAATTCCAGCCCCAAGCACCAGAAGTATTTGCTGAAGTTCGCACAGTCAGAACAGTGGGTTTATGATGCAGATTTGAAAAAAACAAGTTCTCTAATGAGCTTAGCTAATTAGGACTCTTGTTTTGTCTTCTAACATCAGAATAGTGTATCAGACACAAAACTCCCCACTAGTTTCTCTTGCCCCTGCACAGCCTGAATGTCTGTGTCTGCTGGTGTCCTCCCGCGCTGAGATGCAAACCCGTCCAGCTGGGGTACATCCTTGACAGAGATGGTCCCTCCGTGGGTGGGAGACTGACATAGGCTGAGACACGGGCATTTATTTAAGGCCATGTTGTGACAATTGCTGCTTTTCACACATAGATGAGGGTGTGGAAACAGATCCATGAGATGACCAGTAGGACTTGACTTGGGTCCTGCATGGATCAAAGGTAGAACAGGGAACAGTGCGTGGGGAACCTCTCCGCAGGGGAGCACGGAGTGACACATGGCTCCTCAGGGACGTGCCAGGTGTCATAGCCCAGACCGTCCTCACCTCCTGGCTGACACCACCGGGATCAGCTGCTACCCTTCAGAGAGATCAGTGGGGTCTCAGCAGGGTGGTCGAGATCAAGGTGAAAGAGGACAGACACGTGGGTCACCTGGCCAGCCGCTGGTACTTGCACAGCTACTTGTTAATTCACATGGGACATGGCTGAAGGATTGAGTTTAAAGACACTCAGACCCCAGTGCTGCCCAGCATGCAGCAGCCTGTGAAGGTCCAAGGACAAGTTGTGGATATCTGTCCTTGTCACATCCTTACGGGGCCTGTGAGGGGTGAGGAGGGACAGGCTCGGGAAGATGACTATTGCCCAACACCTGGAAAGAAGTACCACGGGGTTTGCAGAGTTTTCTGAAGCAAGGGAGAGCTTTCTTGAGCCAGAGCTGACTTCCCCATTTGCAGAAGAAAATTGCAAACGTGCAAATATGTAAATGAGGAACAAACAGCACATGGGCACAAAGAGACACTCAACCCAGAGAGGGTGACCCGGGTTCGTGCCACTATCTGCTGCTGGGGAAGATCCAGGCAGGCTCGAGGCAGGGGGGTGCCTTCTCAGGAGGCAGCAGTTTTGGGGGAAATGCTTGTTGTCCGTGGGGCTGGCAGAGCTGAGGCAGGCACATTGCCATCTGCAGCACCCAGCACTCTCATCGTAACCAGGCTTCGTGACTGGTGGTACAGTTTATTCACTCTCAAGGAAAACCACCATGTTCTGCAAATTCCGGTTAAAAACCCACAAGTTTACCATCAGTGAGCAACCCTGCATCCTTGGTGGTGGCTCCCAAATTGCTTTACCTGCATTAGTCAGTGACCGTCCCAGGAGGGAAGGGGGAGAGAAGAACGAGCAGATCTGCAGGATGGTCAGAGAGGCAAGTGCCTGCCCAGTGCCAGACTGGGAGCTGGCGCTACGGCCCAGAACAGGTGTGTACATCCTCGGGGTGGTAAAAGCAGCAGGGTAAAGTACACAAGGTGGTAGACCAAACCCCTGTAAATCCGAGACAAGAACACGTACAGTACTGATGATGCAGGAATTTGGTATGTCCAAACTGTAGGCAAGATTTGAAGAAATACTCTCTGAGCTGGGGACTGGTAATATTAAAACCCTGAAGGTGTCTCTTTAGGGACAGTGTTTGTCAGCAGCCTCACCAGCTACACAGCAAAGTATGGAGCTGCTGCTGCTGACACTCACACTTGATGAAGAAATAGTAGCGGGGGGAAGGCAGCCAGATCGGTTTGATGACATCTTGAATTCAAACTGATGGCACCATAGACAACAGCCAGAATTTTAAGAGAGATAGAGCGTGGTTAAAATCAACGATGTACCACAAAACATCACCCTTTAGGAGCAGTGACTCATCTTTCACGTCATTCATTGAGTGAAACAATGAGAGTTCTGGTAGCCTATGAAGTGAATGTGAGACCCTATGGTGCCCACAACTAAGAAAACAAATACAATTTGTACAAGTGTAAGAAGGAATATGTCAGAAAACAACAAGTAGAGGGTGACTCTGGAAATGGCACTAGTGAGACATTTTTAGCAGATATTGTTTCACTTCTGGAATTTATACATAAAAAAAAATGTAGGTAAGTTAGAAAGCATTGGGAACCACAGGGGAAAAAAACAGACTCAGAAAATCTGTTTGCTTATAGTAAAAGACTCAGAAGCTTGAGCCAGAGTAACACATGAATTTATCTAAGAACCCTCACACTGAAAAATCTTTTGAGATTAGAGATTAGTGATCTCAGATCTGCACTGCAGCACACAACGCTGGATGAAGACACAAGGCTAGCATGGTGTGGAAATGGTATCAAAGAGAAGACCAAGGGGACAAGGCAGGTGTCTGTGGCGGGAGCCAAGGCATGGAGCAGAGCTCCTGTGGTCACAGACAGCTGCAAATGAAAGGTGGGTTTTGGCTTAGCAATGGCACCACACCAATCAGCTCATTTTATGCTTTATATTTTTAGGTAAGGAGAAAAGCTACAGCAGGAAATTCTGCTTCGGATGTGCCCACTCAGCACCACGATGTCTGGAAAGGGTAAAGGTGGTGCTGAGGGTAGTGCTGATTCCTACATTTCATGCCACATAGACTCTGAGTTTCGCTACAACCTCTTCACTGTTTTCTACAGCATCATTTTCATTCTGGGCTTTGTTGCCAACTGCTATGTGCTCTGGATTTTCTGCCATGTTTACTGCAGCAAGAAACTCAATGAAATCAAGATATTCATGGTAAACCTGACAGTAGCTGACCTGCTCTTCTTGGTTACGATGCCAATGTGGATTGCTTACTATCACCACCATGGAGACTGGACCATGCCTGAGTTCCTCTGTAATGTGGCTGGCTGTTTATTTTTCGTTAACACCTACGCTTCTGTTGCCTTTCTGATGGTCATCACATACAACCGTTACCAAGCCGTGACTAATCCCATTAAAGCTGCTCGGCTTACCACCCAGAGAAGGGGTATCTACTTATCAGCAGCTATCTGGATCCTGATAGTGGGCAGCTCTTTGTATTACCTTTTTGACAATAATACTAATCAGGAGGAGATCAATTCGAAGAATTTCACACGGTGCTTTGAGCACTATGACACTTCTGGCAGTGTTTCAGCTGTTCTTGCCATTCACATCATCATCTGCATCCTCTTCTATATCATTTTCCTCTTTATACTAGGCTGGAACATCTTCATTATCAGGACCTTGTTCTCCAAATCAGTGCAGCCACGGAAGAATGCTCATGTCAAGCAAAGGGCGCTCTGGATGGTTTGCACGGTGCTGGCTGTGTTCATCATAAGCTTTGTACCTCATCACATAGTGCACCTGCCCTGGACCCTCACTGTTCTGGAGCAGTGGAAGAAGGAAAACTGTCAGTTGCGCCAACAACTCAATGATGCTCACCAGGTGACTTTGTGCCTCTTGAGTACAAACTGTGTGTTAGACCCAATCATCTACTGCTTCCTCACCAAGAAGTTCCAGAAGCATCTTTCAGAAAACCTGAAAAGCATGAAAGGGAGTCGCAAGTGCTCCAGGCAAACCACGGACACAGTGATTGAGGCCACCATTCACCATGAGGATGCCATCAGGATCTAGGTCAGCTCTGTTCTGATTGCAGACTGAGATGTGTGAATTAGTCACTCATCTTTTCTCAACAAGAGGTGCTGAGGGACACAACAGAGGACCAGGATTTTACATTTCCTTTTTTCCCCACTAGAAAAAAGAATGGATGGCCATTTCTTGCCCACAGAAGCTGTGGATGCCCCATCCCTGGAGGGGTTCAAGGCCAGGCTGGATCAGGCTTTGAGCAACCTGGGCTAGTGGGAGGTGTCCCTGCCCATGGCAGGGGAGTTGGAACTCGATGATCTCTAAGGTCCCTTCCAACCCAAACCATTCTGTGATTCTATGATTCTTCTATCACATGCAACTGGCAGAACTGGAGCCTGTAATCTGTTAGAAAAACACCTTCTGTCTGGGCTGATGTTCTCACAGGCACTGAGAATAGCTCAGATTATCTGCTTTTACATGAAAGCAATGTGTCATTGAGTCTCTGCAGTGAGCAGCTAGAAGCTAAGTGCACTGAAGTTGTGTCGGCCTAGATAGCACCATTCCTGGTCCTCTGCCTGCCCAGCTCCCATGAAGAATCCAGTCTCAGAGCTGTAAGAGACTTCTAAAACACCTGGAAGAACAGACTGAGTTGCTAGCATCATCAAGTGAATTTTGAAGAAGCTTGCATGGTTCTGTGAAGAGAGTCTGGGTTAAGAAGCTCTTGAGTGGCTAGAAGGGATGTGGTCCAAGAGTTCCTCAAATGCCATCAAAGAAGAGATCTGCGCCTCTGATCCCTTCTTACACACTCACATAGTCTGCTGGGGTCTTGACAGATGTCTGGGAGTAGCTGTTACAAATTTTGCCTTTGCTCCCAGCTCTTGAATCAGTAACTGGACTAGTAGGTAAGAAGAGGAAGAGCAGTTGGCACTGCCTCAGCCCTCATCCCCAGATCAGCATTGTGTTCGAAGGGGCTATTGTCTGCGTGGCTTCTTGTATGATAGCAGAACCGGCAAACCAGTAGCCTCTTGCACTCAGTTTAGTAATTTTTGGCTGACTGCATGTGTCTATGGAAATCCAAGCTCACTTTGGAGACTCCAGATATCAGAAGGTTATTGTCAGCATGGGCATTACAATAATAAGAAAAAAAAAGTTCAAAACACTTCAGTATCTTTTTTCTTATTTATTTAAACAAGGGCTGTAGCAAGCAATTGTACATTATTCCTTCCCCTAGCCTTTCTATTTCTGCTACGAAGAAATGAAGCTGACTAGTTCTTGGTATCCTACAAGTGAAGCATTAGGTCAGGTCATGGCCATTTTCTGAGTAAATCAGTTTTGCAAAGTGATACCGTATGCTCGACAGACACTCCAGCAAGACTGAGACTCCTCACTCAGGGCTGGCTGCAGTCAGCTGGGGCCCAGGGCAAAGTGATTTTCCAGGGGTGCTGAGTTCTGTTACCAGTCACAAGACACTTGAGGTTCCTTTTCTGACCCAAGTTGCTCAATCCAGCACAGGAAATTGGGCAGGGGAGGGAAGGGAATGAACTTGTTTTCACAACAGTTTTTGGTTCCCTAAACTACATGAGAGCCTGGCTGATGACAGGAACAGCGTGTCTATCTGACCTGTGACACCGATTATTCATATGCAAGGACAGCAGCCTTCCCACACCCACCAGAGAACGTGAAAGACAAGCTCACATCTTTCCAAAGATAGGACCAACGTTTATATCAGACTTTGCCTGTACTAAGTGGAGATACAGGTCCTTCAGGTGTATCTCCTGAAGATCCTCAGAAAGCTTTTATGCTTCCTTGTGTGAATGAGCAAAAGAACTAAGACATTTCTTTTGTTAATGCCATCTGCCAGGGCCAGCCATGCTCTCCATGCCCAGTGCCAGGCAGAGGAAAGAACCTGATCACAAAGTGAACACATTTCCCTCCTGGTCCTGGAATCTGCTCCAGTAATGGCCGCCCATAGAGAACACCTGCTGGCACCACTTAGCAGAGGGAGAATTCCTCAGCCATGTGCAAAGCTTTGCCCTGAATCTGCACTCGTCTGAGCCACAGAACAGGCAGCAATTTTTGTAATTTAAAAGCCTACATCCTTCTTCCTGGAGGAATCTGCCTCTGTATTTCTGCCCTCCCCAGATGGCACATTCTGGTGGAGGAGCTCTTGCAGCTGGGAGACAGGGTGGAGATTTCCCCTTGCCACCCCCTGCGACAGTGGAACTCTCTTATTTCACACTAAAAGCATGGAACAGGTGGAGTTTGGCAACCCTTAGAGGAAATGGAAAGGGATTTTATGTGGAGATTTGGTAAATGTGTGATCTTCTGTTGATTCCTGGAAAGCCTGCAACAGAGTTTACAGTTTAGGCTACTTACTGGGGGTAAATAACATGCTTTACTCCACAGAAAACAGCTGTAAGGCCAGTCTGGGCTCAGAGAAAAAATGTAAACTTGCATCTAAGGAAAAGGGCAAGTGGAGGAAAAAGCCCCTGGGTTGCTTCAGGAGGATATGTTGCAGTAATTAAGTCAGTATCTGTGTTTCTAAAAACCAGTCTGGGCTTCTGCTTCTGTTTCTGGAATTACTTTCTTGGTTTTACTCTGCTGTACTTTGCAATAAAATGGATGTTCAAAAACTCTCGAACAAAGCATGTTCCCCAAGTGTTTGCCCCTTTAACCTCTCCCAGCTCCCCATCTATCTGTATTTACACTCAGGGGAAAAGCCTCAGCACCACGCCCACACAGCTTCGGTTTGGTATTATTATTTTTTTAAATCACCAAGTGAACCCTTTGGACAGGCGAAATCAAAGGCTCAGCAAGTTTTGACCCGCTAAAAGAGAAGGGGACAGAAATACTGTCAGAGCAGAAGCAACTGCCGAACCACCCGCC